GGGTTTCTATTTTTTGTTATTTTCAAATTGGCCCCAGCACACATGACATTGTTGGTATCTTTTACACGTTTGACAGTTGCAAATCCATGTATTAAGGTTTGGTTTGATTAAGGGTTGGAAAAATTTCAAATGAGTAGTGTGAGGAAAATATGAACATTAAATAATTTTTCAATCAATATGGATACTTTCAAATTGAAATGCAATATTAAAAAAATAACATAAATAAAAGTATTGTATTTTCACAACACAATTATGCGTTTTAGTTAGTACTTATGTTAAATGGTCAACTCGTCTAACGATTAAATTGAACAACATAAAAAATTGCGTGGACAAATTTGGTTGAACTTGTTTTTCGAGTATAACATAAAATAAATATCTGTATTAAAACAAAATACATTAAGAATGTTTTTTGGCAAACACTATAAATTAGTTTGTAACTTATCTGGTTAGTTTATAAGTTTTTATAATCAAATAAATTTTGCTTAGCATGATGAAATTTTTAAAACTATTATTTTTTTGTAATTCATATAATTTAACCAAACATTTTTATTAAAACAATTAATTTTCAAATCATTAGCCATAAACTATTAACTATAAAATCAATTTTTTTTTTTACTAGCGATCAACCAATTTATCATTCAGTTTTCAACTTAATTTACCAAATACTATATTTTAATTTTAAAATTGGCATATAATTGTACTCGTAAATCATGCAAGTAAAAGGTCAATTGTGGAGTCACAAAAACAAGTTACAAATTGGGTGACAAAATGTCTAAAGTAGCAGTGTAGCACAGATTTGATGTGCAAACCATGTCAAAGTCAATGGTCTCACTGCAGCATTCTTCGGAAAACTACGTGGCCTCAAATTTTGCCAAGTGTATTTCTCAATTACCTCAACAGGCCCAAGCCCACTTTCCATTGGGCTTTGCAAGTAACGAACCCAATCAGCTAAACAGGCCCAAATATCTCCATTTTGCAGGTGTTCCTTCTCTGCCTGCTGTGCGGCACGAGCATCTGCTGGTTCAACACCGTCTGCTTCGTCCTCTGCATCCGCAACTTCCCGGCAGCCGTCCCCCTCTCCCTCTCCCTCACCGTCGCCTTCAATGGCGTCAGCGCCGCCCTTTACAACCTCGCCGCCGCCTCCCTCGACCGCCGCGCCCCCTCCGGCGCCGCGTACCTCCTCCTGAACGCACTCCTCCCCCTCATCGCCTCCCTCGCCGCCCTCGTACCCGTCATCCGCCAGCCCCCCCGCGGCCCCCGCCCGCCGGATCTGGTCAAGCGCGACCAAGTCACGTTCCTCAAGATCTACGCCCTGGCCGCCGTCACCGGCGTCTACCTCCTCCTCCTCCGCACGTCCGACTGTCTGACAGCCCGATTTTTATTCTCCGGCGCCGTTGTCCTGCTGGTCTCCCCGTTGGCCATCCCCGGTGTTGTGTACGCCCGCGACTGGTTCGAGCGGACGGTCTACTCGAGCTTCCGATTGGACGGCTCGGGGTTCATACTCGTGGATGCGGAACATTTGGAGATTCACAAGGAGCTTCTCAGCCGTCCTAGCAGCGTGGAGAACGGGCTGAATGAGCTTGGGAATGATGACGTCGGCGGCAGAGGCGGAGGTTGCGGGGCCTGCGCGGTGGAGGGGGACAGGCTGGCGATGCTCGGGCAGGAGCACAGTGTGGGGATGCTCGTGCGGAGGCTCGACTTTTGGCTTTACTACGCGGCGTATTTCTGTGGAGGGACGATAGGGTTGGTTTACAGTAACAATTTGGGGCAGATTGCGCAGTCGCTCGGGCATGCCGTGATGAACTCGAACCTGATCACCGTGTACTCAACCTTCTCATTCTTCGGCCGCCTGCTTTCGGCTGCTCCCGATTTCGTGCGAACGTAAGTGTGCTTGAGCTGAAGTTCAAATATTTCTTTTAAGGAAATTGGTGGATTTGTTATTCTAATGCATGATATGTGAATGATGATTATAATAAGATTGTGGTGCTTGTGGAATTTGCAGTTTCAGTATGTTCGTGAAAGTCAGGGCATGCTTTTAGAATATGTGATTCTCATTCATTGCATTAGAAACGAAAACTAGCTTGAGGTTATTCGTGTGGTAATATATAGAGATGGGGGATATTTAGCCTTTGTAGTTGATCGTAAGTCAACTGAATAGAGGGTGTTGATTGAACATGAAGTTGTGAGATAGCTTCATTTTTGTGTTTTTGTCTTTTGGTCTGCGAATGTTTCGTTTTTTCCACAAGAAATTGAACTTTGAGCTGACGTTTGAATGTTCTTTCATAGGAAATTGGTGGCTTTATTATTCTAACCCATAATATTTGGATCGTTACAAGAAGATTGAGGTGCTTGCGGAATTTGAAGTTTATGGATGTTCATTAAATTCTCTGCGTGTTTGTTAGAATATATGCTTCATTGAAGTAGAAACGATACATAGCTGCAGGGTATTCGTATGAATCATAAGTTTTTGAGAGCATTGAATGAAGTTGCGAGACTGCTTCATTAGTGTTTTTCGGTCATCTGCTTTATAACTCTCTAAAAAAATGTGCAAAACATTTCGATTTTTGCAGGAAATTCTACTTTGCGAGAACCGGGTGGCTCTCCATAGCCCTCCTTCCCACACCACTCGCCTTCTTCTTCCTAGCCGCCTTAGCCGGCGACCCTTTGGCGGTCCAGGCTGGCACGGCCTTAATCGGGCTAAGCTCGGGCTTCATATTTGCAGCCGCTGTCTCCATCACGTCCGAGCTTTTCGGGCCCGAAAGCGTGGGTGTGAACCACAACATTCTCATTACAAACATACCGATTGGGTCCCTTGTGTACGGTTTCTTATCCGCAACCGTTTATGACTCCAATGCCTACAAGCCCCACTCGGACGGGCTCGTGGCCGACACGTTAGTTTGCATGGGGAAAAAATGCTATTTCCTGACATTTGTGGGGTGGGGTTGTATTTCCTTGATCGGGCTTGGGTCGAGCGTGCTGCTGTTCTTGAGAACCCGGCACGCTTATTGCAGGTTTGAAAATAGTCGGAGATCGACTTTGTGAGCTTCGTGTCGTCCATATTTTAATGAAATACGAGACGGAATACCATTTTCTTTTCCGGTTCGTTTAGAGTGTCAAAAGTGTAATAATCTTATGTTCTTCAGGGGACATCATTGCTGGGTTAATACCAAAATTCAGTAAATTCATGGGCGGGGAGCATAATATGCCTTGTGGAGCCAGACACTCTCTTTGAAGACATCTAATGAGTGTGTTCAAATTCTAACCTAAGTACATTGGATATTTTTTTTTTCTTCTTAAGCAAACAGCATTGTAGAAAGTAGAAAACCTTGGACGTTAACAGAATTACTAGTACACTACAGTTCTATATTTTTTTTTGGGGTAATCAGCTCAATCCAAAGCTCACTTATTTTAAAGACTTTTTATTTATTTAATACAACAAACAGAGCGCAATATAATATATATAATTAGGGGGAATGTTACCATTCCGTTACGGGATGGTTTTATTGTCTTTTGTCACCATCGATTATATATACGTTACTAGATTATATGTATATCTACGGTTACAAAAGATAATGGAACCATCCCGTAACGAGATGGTAGCATTCTCCTATAATTAGAGGCATTCGTGAGTTTGATCTTAGCTATTTGCGAGTTCGAGCTTGTTTAGGGCTCGTTTAGTTAACGACGAGTTTAAAAGGATGGATTTTCCGGTATTTACATAATTTCCTCAACTAGTATTGTTGCCCGTGCAAAATGCACGGGAGTTACGAAAAAAAATTTATTAAAAGAACATTTGCAACTCATATAAATGCATAATCGTTAAATATTATTGAATATTTCCCTATATATAACGTTCTTCGTCTTTAAGGTATTTTTATCATCACAAATTAATATTTTCAATCATTTCACATTTGTAACTCGTGAAACAACGACATAAAGTTGGTCATGCGTAAATACAGATTTCGTCAGGTATAACATTCATATAAATTACTCTTCAATAACTAAAATATATTTTTTTATTTTTCATATGCATAAGATATAATTACCGATTAATGCAGTAAATAGTAAATACAGAGTTCTTCAGGTATAACATTCATATAAATTAATCTTCAATAACTAAAATATATATTTTATATTTTATATGCATATGATATAATTAACGATCAATTTTAGCCAAATCGAAAAAACTTTAGAACTTATACATAAACTTCGGGAAATTTTCATGTTGAAGTTCACCATAAAATTTATCTTGAATCTTGCCATAATAGTTTTATATCTACCGTCATTTGGTGCTACAATTGTTAAGTGTGGATACCAGAGACTCCAAAACGTTTGAACAAAACTAAATGAATCTTTTTGATTGAGGGATGAATTCTATATCCTGTAAAACCTTACAAACACAAATATTAGGAAATAAAATTAAATAAAATATGTATAATAACTATTTATAAACAAAAAATGCCTTAAAAGAATCACCTCGCAATCTCGGTATTTGGGTCTTAACCTAGGAGTCGTGGAATCTCAATTCCCAGAAAATGTAATTTTAATCTTGGAAGCAGTCCTTTCATCGCATCACGGACTTTGATACTCCATATGGTAAAATAATGAATTGCGTATTTATAAACTACACATATATATCTTACTAAATAAAAAATGATGCCGTCAAAGGTAACGATTCAAACCACGAACAATATAACTTCCAAACATGTGTATTTTTAATAACTTCACTTACATGGTTTTACTGTATTTTTAATTAACTTCCACATGATATATGTGCGTTGTGTTAATATTTTTTTATAAAAATAAACTCGATGAACTAAATAAATACAATTTTTTGTATTAAAAAAATGAGTAACAACTGATGAACGTGTCAAATCATTAAATAATGGTGTTGGTAGTTATCGATAAATTAAATAAATATTTTTTGAGGTAGTTAACATTAATATAAATATGAACACATGTCAAAAAATGTTAAGGCTTTCCAAAAATAGTATGAGTGTTGTAGGACCCACATAAATGTTTTTAAAAATGACAAGTGAGTTGTCTAATTTATTAATATATAATAAGGATTAACATAATTCACTTTTAGAAATAATTTCCCGTCAATTTCATTAATTATTGTCTAAAAATAGTAAATTAACAAAAATCAATGTAATTAATGTACATAATCTTTTTAGTCAAATATTTATGGTTATTACCTTTATTAGTTGAATTTAAATTTAGGATGATTTAGTTTTATGGAAACAAATATTGGGGTATTATAGAAACTTTCAAAATCATTGATTTAAATATATAGACTTGATTGAGCAATTATAGAGAATTAATCGTTAATCTTTATATCTATATTATATTTCATGTATTGAGTAAAACATAATAAAATAATACTTATGTTATTTTTCATACATCTTTTTGTTGGTATAGTAGAGTTGCAGGATTATCTTTTTATTCGTAGACAAGATAACCAAATACAAAAATATAAATAACATTTATGTGCCGCTAAAAAATATTTTGGACAAAACGTAGAAATAACTTTTAGAAAATACTTAATTAATTTATGTTATAAATTTGACAAAATTAATAAATCCAATTTTGGTATAAAGTTGATGATTTTATTTTAAATATCTGATAGACATTTTTATTTTTTCATAGAAAATGTGTTGTTAATAATAAATGTCCGATTTTGTGGTATAAAATTGGGTGATTTATTTTTGGTACGAAATGTTCGAATTTAAATAGTACTCCGTATGAATTTTATTTGGAATGTATAGAAGTATATTTGAAATTATTTAAAACAAAATAAGAGCATTTATAATGCATATATGTTGTTATCACATAAATTTTGACAAATGTCAATTGTTTATATGGATTGTGAACCACATAAGATATTTGTTAAGTTCACAACTTTATATCTAAAAATTATATGTGTGCACAATGTGATCAAACATAATATTGTCATTTGGCAAAAATAAAAATAAAATATAAATAAAAAACAAAAAATAAATTAATAATTAGATATTTTAAAAAGGATATTCCATAATATTTGATTAAACACTAAATTCGGCTATTTGGAACCAAATATATTTAAAAGCAGTATTATTATGGAACCAAATGTTATGGAATATCTTTTTAGAAACAGTATAATTATGATATCAAGATATTTAACCACGATTCAATCTTTTTAATTCAATCCATATCTCTTTTTAGACTTATCAATTCATTTTAATACAATATAAATTTACCGTAAAAATGAGAGTTGGACTTTATAATAATCACGGTATCTATATTAACAATATAAATGCTAAATAAAATTTAATTATTTGGATTATACACTTTATTATATACATATAAATAAATCGCCTATTTGAACTTTAAATATATATATTTTTTTCATATATAGTTATGCAATATATGCAACTTAACTAAAAGTAAAAAATATTTTAAAGATTTCATTTTAATTATGGTAACATGTTTTTTAAAATTGCCACAGTTTTCGATTCACTAATCCACTACTCATGTAAACATCCTTTTGTTATAATATACAATTTTTTTTTTTTATCATTTTGAATAATTTTCTTATCACTTTTTTTATGAAACATATTTTTCATTTAAAACCCGTGATTTACATGTCCTCCGATTCATTTAGTTATTTTTATCTACAAATGATAAAATATCGTTGTTGTTTTTTTCAAACATAATTATTTTATAAATATGTTTTACAAAGATACAACCAAAATTCCAAAGCTCTGTTAAAACGTAACAAAACAAAATCGTTCTCAATTTTTTGAATGAATTTGGCATAAAAAATGAGAATAATTGACAAAAAAAAAAATAAAAAATAGATATACTCAAAATCCACACTTTAACTTTAAGGTAACAATTTTCCTTATACTCGATATAAAATTAAACTTCACCCGATAATCATATCTTTAGTATCTATCACAATATTACACATTTTCACTATAGTTTTATTTCATGGTGGTAACATTCCGAAAATCAACAAAAAATGAAGGAATGAGGTGTCTATGCAATTCACAATTACCAAGTGGAGAGCGATCTTGGTAAATATCGACGGTTACCAGATGAAAAATAATTTTGCATGGAAAAACAAAGAGTTTTTTTAATAATGTATGAATTTTTCATGATGATCATTTTATGATTACCTAACAAATATTCTATGTATTATAACTTATAGATTAATAGCCTTCAATTATAAATTTTATCAAAATAAATACAGCCCGTGTATTGCACAGGTACGTAATTTTTAATATAATTCAACACATTAGGCTCATCAACAATATAGGTTCATTTAAACAAGTAGGGCCTGAACTCGAATAACAAACAAACCTTACTTTCCCTAGGGATCCAACATAACTAAGTTGAATGAAAAAATCAGTTGACTTTGTAACTCAACTTGAGAGAAAAATAATCCAAGATGCAGAACAAGGATCCAAATCCATTTTTCTTTTTTTTTTTTC